CTGGCCTTCTCTCTCCATGTCATGCTTGACACACACAGATCTTCAGCTTGCCTTATTACTAAAATCAGGCTGTACTCGAGTAATACAGATGTTTTCGCTCGGAGCGGCTGGCTATACAAAAGAGTCGCTTTTGTTCGAAATGCCTGATTGACAACTTGACAGTCGTTGACTGTGATGTATATCGTATATCCAAGTATTTCTACTTGGCTAAAAACCGAGATCTCACCATTGTCATGCTGGCATGTAAACTCATCAGATGCTGTCTTGTGTATGAGCTAAGCTGGGGGGTACTTGGCTCTGATAATGAAGCCTTTCAAACACTACTATTATCCCGAAATTTCGGTGTCTTGAGATTACCTAGAGTAATGACAAAGCGGCCCAATGCAGATCACCGCGCCTCATCATAAGTCGGTTGAATGTAATCGCTGATCCCGTGTGGCTCACCCAGAATAATGATCACGATTTTCCAACGGGCTCATCCTATACACAGCTACTACATAGATTAGTAGCCGTGGAACTAAGTCGCGTTCATACGAGAGATAGAGCAAACCTTTTCGTCAAAGATTACTCGTTTCGGGTTGGCTGTAGGAATACTCAGGTTGACATGGTGTACATTATACACAGGTTCAGACAATTTCCATATGATAAACTAACACATCATGAAGAAAATATCAAACGCGCAATTTTGAGTGAAGCTATGCCCGAACCAAAAACACAAATTAAACCGAGAGAACCTATGATTCTAGACTAAACTTCGCTGGGTCTAACCATGGGGCAACACATTCAAGGGGATAGCACCATTAGAAGACCTGGGGAATTGCTTTTTAGTCACACACCAAAGCCCAATGCAATAGCAAAACGAAAACCACCAATTTCCCTATTCCACGGAGCTTTAACCACGGACTGCATTACCCAGAGCACCACCGGTGAACTGTGTACCACCGGCCTGCCGTTGAGGGTTGCCGCCCGTCCTCGCGCCACCTCTGCCACCGCGCTGGCCACCACCACGTTGGCCACCGCCACGGTTGTCCTTCCTGGAGAAGGCGTTGGCGGAGCCCTGTGTCTTCTGCTCGAGCGTGCGCTCGTTGGTCTCAATAAGGGAGCTGGCCTTGTCGGAGAGAGTGAGAGCCAAGCTCTGGAGACGGCTGAGCTCAACACCCTTGCGGAAGATGACGGTCTCGGTGACCTGGTCAAGGGCAGCCGCGAGCTCCTCGTGGCTGATCATCTTGCTGACGACAGCAGAGACCTTGCGAGAGTCGAGCTCAAACATGGAGCTGAGGGTAGCAATGGCGAGAGTGTCGTAGAAAGGAGCATAGGTGAAGAGGTAGGTGCGGAGACCCTCCTCCTGGATCTGCTTGGCGAGCATAGTCTTGATACCCTCGGTGTTCGGCATCAAGTCCCAGATCTTGATGCTGTGAATGAAGTCGGTGGCCTTCTTCCACTCACCAGCAGCAAGGGCCTTGGAGGCCTGCATGACGTGATCCCTGGTGTTCTCCGGAGGCCCGGTAAAGATCTGGCGTTCATGGTACTCGAGCATACGGCGGTAGGTCTTGCTGATGATCCTCTTCTTGACATCGGGCGAAGAACCGGTCTGGGCGAGCAGAGGGATCTCGAGGAGCATGCTGCAGGTAAGGTAGACGCACTCGAGGAGCTCGAGGTTGATGTGCATGTGGAAGGGAAGCTGGCGCTGCTTCTCGAGGCGCTCCTGCTCAGGGGTGACCTGGCTGTAACGCTGGATCATGACACCCTGAGCAAGAAGCTCCTTTTGACGGCCACTGCCGCAGATCTCCTGGAGGGTGTTCTGCGCGTCGTAGACGAGACCCTTGCGGAAAGCGCAAAGGCCGACCTGAACGAGGGTGCGGTTGTAGAGAATCTGGGTGGCGATGTCGAAGTTGGCGATAGTTTCCTGAAGATGGGAGGTGAGCATCAGGTCGCGAGACTTGTAGTACTCATCGTGCAGAGCCAAGAAGTAGATCTGGCAAAGCATGGCACGGGCGCGGATGATGCCCTCGCTGTTCTCGAACAGGTAGTTAGAAAGGATGTTGATGAGCTTGCCAGCATCGCCGGATTGGCTGCGGGGGGTAATTTCGGAATCGGCCTCAGCAGAAACCTGCTTCCACGCGTTCTCCTCGAGGATCTTGACGACTTGGGCGGGCTGAAAGAAGATGATTAGCAAAGACGGCTGAGTATTCCAGCATTAGCTCTATACACACCTTGTAATAAACATGGTCCAGACGCCTCTGGATGATGCGGTTCAAGCTCTCCTGGGGGACCTCGAGGGAAACATCCTTGCGGAGGTGCTCGTAGTAAAGAAGACCACGGAAGATGGTGTTGTAAAGAGAGCCCTCATCGGTTAGCCTGTCGATGTACTCGGAGGTGTGAGGATCGATGGCTTGGAGGGAGCGGGTGAGCTCGTCATCGAGACGCTCAATGAGCGAGACAACGCTGCCGGGAACCTTGAGGTACTTCTCACCCTCGGGGATGGTGGGGAGCTTGTCATCATCATCCCACTCCTCAGCGCCCTCAACAACAACATGGTCCTTCTCCTTCTCGAGGATCTCCAAGAGAGAGGCAAGGTCACGCTCAGCGGCCTTCCACTGGTCCAAAGGCATCTGGGCGGCGCCACCAGCACCAAGATCGAAGCGGGCAGAAATAAGGGTCTGGAGGACACGGATCTTTTGGTAAGGGGTAATGGGGACGACCTTGTTGAGGGTCTCCATAACCTTGATCTGCTCGAGGCGGTCGGTGTTCTTCTTGCCGCGAGACTCGATAATGGCGCGGAGGTGCTTGAGGATGCTCTCGGGGGTGTACTGAACAACCTTGCCGCGCGAATCGACCGTGGAGAAGCCCTTGTCGTCCTCTTCCTGCTGCTCGGCGCTGACGACGGGAGCCTCGAACCGGACCTTGGAAACAACCTTGGGCGCGGCAACCTCATCATCCGACTCCATGAAAGCGTCCGCATCCTTCCTGTAGGCATCGATCTGGGTCTGGTACTCCTTGTTGTTCTTGCGGATGCGCTGCTTGACGGCGTTGAGACCACGGGCATTTGTCGCGTTCATTTTCTTGGGAGTGACCTTTTGCTTGGCGAGAGTCTCGTTCATGAAGTCCTCAAGATCGGCAATGGCCTTGATGTAGGACTTGGGCGCCTTGCTGCCATCTTGGAGCTTAACGACCTGACGGTTGAGCTTGTCGAATTCTAAAGCGGGGAGGGGAGTAAGCATCGGTGCAGGACATATCGAGGGCGTATACATGCATGAAGGATATACGAACCGTTGGCGATAAGACTCCAGTCGTTGATCTTCTGGCCGTTTTGGATCTGGCTGATGGTGGACTCGAGTTCGTCGAAGCGCTTGTCCTTGGCGCTCTTGACCTTGGTGGTGGCTTCATCGTCGCTCTGCTCTTCCTCCTCCTCCTCGGACTCGTCGTCGCTCTGCAAGAAACGGGAGGCACCCTTCTTCTTGGTTCCTTCTTCCTCGTCGCTGCTGGACTCCTCGTCGCTCTCCTCCTCGTCAGACTCCTCCTCAGACGAAGACTCGTCCTCGGCCTGAACCTTCTCCTCCTCCTCCTCCGAAGTGTAGACCTCCTCCTCCTCGGAGCTGCTGTCGGTGGAGCTGTCGTCACCGCCGCGGAAGAAACGAGACATGGTTGCGGTCTCTTTCGATGGACTCGGAATAAATATGCGGGTTCCGGGGGTATGGGCGCGAGGCAGAAGTCCGGGTTACCGGTATGGGTACTTGGAGTGGTGGACGGAAGTGGTGATGGTCCGGATGGTTGGCAAAGCAAAACCCGGCTGCGGCGAGGCGGACAGAGGGGTCAAAGAATTAATTTTCACTGAAAGGCCGTTTTGGTGGGGGCGATTTGGGGCTTAGCGAATCGAGCGGAGCTGTTTGGGCCTCGAGCGCTGTAATGATTGGGTATGACTTAATCCGAGCAAGGGGTGTGGGGGGAGAGGATACTTGCTCCGCGGGGGGGAGGCTGAACTTATGAGCTGAATGTACCTGCTTCCGCTTGGAGATCGCACGAGTCCCAGAAGATGAAGATAGGTAAGGTCTGAACCTTGCAGATGTTCGCATGAGGGAGCTGTCAGAGGGACGGGTTTTTGTGTGCACTTTGGCGAGCGGAGCGAGGGAACAATATCAAGCATTGCTTTGTCAGGCCTCACTATGAGATTCAACACTTGTCGTCTGGGTACTTGGGCGCAAACAGCCAGCCAGCTGATGCCCCACCTTCAAAGTATCAGCTACCTAAGCTGATATGTATCACTATACTCGGTTACATGCATCTGAGACGTGCTGTGAGCTTGTCAAGCCAGATCTACCACGTAACGGGGATTGCGTATCGAAAGTTACAGTACGTAACAGTGAGGAGACGTTTCGCCACGAAGTCGAGAACTCGTGCAGGCAACCAACCCCAGGCCCTCTTTCACTAACTGGAGTGGCGGGGACGCTACCTGGCTGCAGCTGCCAACAAGCACCTGCACAGCGAAGAATCCCGCTGCCAGGTTTCCCGTTTTGCGCGCCAGGACCTGGACCTCCCTCCCCGACCTCTGAACTTTATCGACCGCCCACGCAGCTGTCGCGAGGCTGTTCAAGTTTTTCGTAACGAGGCGAACCTGCCAACGTCAACGCCAGCATCCTGGCGCCACCAAACCACAACCATCACGAATACAACATCCACCTCTCCATCCTCAGCTTTATCGACCATCGCCGCGATTTGGTGCGAGGTCGACCTACGCCCATTTCCACCCAAAACCAATGGGAATCTAATATTTGCCAGTCCTTTTTTTCTTCCTCAGCGAGAACGGGCCTTGGAACGACGCACGCGCACTGCAAACCGCCATCGCGCGGACAGGCGACTTCACGGTATCCAGCCTTCTATCCATCTCGTCGCCAACGCCTACTGGTATACGCTTCTGACGAAGACGATTACAACGAAACAACCACATAAACGCCAACAAAGCTTCATCGAGCAGAAATCGAAAAATGTCCTATCCGCCACCACCACCTCCTCCCCCCGGCTGGGGCGCTCCTCCGCCGCCATCAGCACCCCCGCCGCCGCCGCCTCCGTCCTCTCTCCCACCTCCTCCTGCCCTCCCAGCACCGCCGCCGCCTGGGTTCTTTCCACCAACCGACCCCCATGTTGCCAAGTTCGCCCAGAAGAAGAAGGAATGGCTTCGCATGCAGAGGAATCGCTTCGGCGAGAAGAGGAAGGGCGGATTTGTTGAGACGGAAAAGGCCGACATGCCTCCAGAGCACTTGCGGAAGATCGTCAAGGATATTGGAGATGTCTCGCAGAAAAAGTACACCAGTGACAAGCGCAGCTATCTTGGGGCGCTCAAGTTCATGCCCCATGCTGTGCTGAAGCTGCTTGAGAACATGCCCATGCCTTGGGAGGCTGCCAGAGAGGTCAAGGTTCTTTATCACGTCAACGGCTGTCTGACCCTCGTGAATGAGATCCCGAGAGTCATTGAGCCCGTCTTCTTTGCACAGTGGGCCAGTATGTGGACGGTAATGCGCAAGGAAAAGAGCGACCGCCGGCTATTCAAGCGCATGCGATTTCCACCTTTCGACGACGAAGAACCGCCCCTGTCCTGGTCCGAGAACATCGAGGACGTCGAGCCACTTGAACCCATTCAGATGGAGTTGGATGAGGACGAAGAAGCGGCAATCTATGAGTGGTTCTATGACCACAAGCCGCTTCTCGACACGCCCCACGTCAACGGACCCAGTTACAAGAAGTGGAATCTCACCCTGCCGCAAATGGCGAGTTTATACCGTCTAAGCCGACCGCTGGTGTCTGAGGTTGTCGACAAGAACTACTACTACCTCTTTGAGCTCAAGAGTTTCCTCACAGCAAAGGCCCTGAATGCGGCTTTACCAGGCGGGCCTCGCTTCGAGCCACTTTACAAGGACATTGACCCCAATGATGAGGATTTTGGCGAGTTCAATGCTATGGATCGCATCATCTTCAGGAACCCTATCCGAACAGAGTGCCGTGTAGCTTACCCCCATCTTTATAATGCACTTCCGAGAAGCGTCCAGTTGTCAGTCCACTCATACCCGCAAGTTGTCTATACGCGCACAGAAGACTACAACCTTCCCGCTTTCTACTTTGACACGAGCATCAACCCGATTTCTTCGCGGGCTGTTGCCCCCAAGAACCTTACAGTCAGCCATGAAGATGAGCTCTTCGGACCTGGCAACATCGAGGAGCCGGAAGAGGACGCGTTTGAGCTGCCCGCTGGCGTCGAGTCTTTCATGGCCGAGGAATCGCTGTATACGGATGAGACGGCATCGGCCATCGAGCTTTGGTGGGCGCCGTTCCCCTTCGACCGCCGCTCTGGACGTACGGTTCGTGCCCAGGATGTACCTCTCGTAAAGCATTGGTACTTGGAGCACTGCCCGCCGAAGCAGCCCGTCAAGGTGCGCGTCTCGTACCAGAAGCTTCTCAAGAACTACGTCCTCAATGAGCTGCACAAGAAGCATCCAAAATCTCTTCAGAAGCAAAACTTGCTGCGGACTTTGAAACAGACAAAGTTCTTCCAGCAGACAACGATCGATTGGGTTGAAGCTGGCTTGCAAGTCTGCCGACAGGGCTTTAACATGCTCAACCTGCTTATCCACCGCAAGAACCTCACATATCTCCATTTGGACTACAACTTCAACCTGAAGCCCGTCAAGACGCTGACAACCAAGGAGCGAAAGAAGTCTAGATTCGGAAATGCCTTCCATCTTATGCGTGAAATTCTGCGCTTGACCAAGCTCATTGTCGATGCCCAGGTACAGTACCGTCTTGGCAACATTGACGCCTTCCAGCTTGCGGATGGTATCCTGTATGCCTTCAACCATGTCGGACAGTTGACCGGTATGTATCGTTACAAGTACAAGTTGATGCACCAGATCCGTTCCTGCAAGGATCTCAAGCATCTCATCTACTATCGCTTCAACGCCGGCCCGGTTGGTAAGGGTCCAGGCTGCGGTTTCTGGGCGCCGGCATGGCGTGTGTGGCTCTTCTTCATGCGCGGTATCATTCCCCTTCTTGAAAGATGGCTTGGCAACCTCCTTTCCCGTCAGTTCGAAGGTCGCCACAGCAAGGGAGTTGCCAAGACCGTTACCAAGCAGCGTGTTGAATCTCACTTCGATCTCGAGCTTCGTGCTTCCGTCATGGCTGATCTGCTGGACATGATGCCGGAAGGTATCAAGCAGAGCAAGGTCAACACGGTTCTTCAACATCTTTCTGAGGCCTGGAGATGCTGGAAGAGTAACATTCCTTGGAAGGTTCCTGGACTTCCTGCAGCTATTGAGAACATCATTCTGCGTTACGTCAAGTCCAAGGCCGATTGGTGGATTTCGGTTGCTCATTACAACCGTGAGCGTATTCGTCGGGGTGCCACCGTCGATAAGACCGTTGCCAAGAAGAACGTTGGCCGCCTAACGCGTCTGTGGCTCAAGGCCGAGCAAGAACGCCAGCACAACCACATGAAGGATGGTCCCTACGTCTCTTCTGAGGAGGCTGTTGCCATTTACACCACTACGGTGCACTGGCTTGAATCGAGAAAATTCTCTCCCATCCCCTTCCCCAGTGTGTCTTACAAGCATGACACCAAGATCCTTATCTTGGCGCTGGAGCGCCTGCGTGAGGCTTACTCGACCAAGGGAAGATTGAACCAGAGTCAGCGTGAGGAGTTGGCCTTGATTGAGCAGGCATATGACAGTCCAGGCACTACCCTCGAGCGTATCAAACGCTTCCTACTCACTCAAAGAGCTTTCAAGGAAGTCGGCATCGATATGAACGACAACTACAGCACCATCAACCCGGTCTACGATATTGAACCGATCGAGAAGATTAGCGATGCTTATCTCGACCAGTACTTGTGGTATCAAGCTGACCAGCGCCATCTGTTCCCCGCTTGGATTAAGCCTTCCGATTCGGAGGTGCCACCTTTGCTTGTGTACAAGTGGGCTCAAGGCATTAACAACCTCGACAGGGTTTGGGAGACCGCGAATGGCGAGTGCAATGTCATGATTGAGACGCAGCTCTCCAAGGTCTACGAGAAGATTGAGCTGACCTTGCTCAACTCGCTTCTTCGGTTGATTATGGACCACAACCTTGCGGACTACATCACGGCCAAGAATAACGTTACCCTAACTTACAAGGACATGAACCATGTCAACAGCTATGGTATGATTCGTGGCCTGCAGTTCTCAGCCTTCGTTTTCCAGTACTATGGTCTCATTCTCGATTTGCTGTTGCTTGGCCCGCAGCGTGCTAGCGAGATCGCCGGTCCTCCCCACGCACCCAATGACTTCCTCCAGTTCAAGGACCGGGAGACTGAAACAAGACACCCGATTCGGTTGTACACCAGGTACATCGACAAGATCTGGGTGTTCTTGAGGTTCACCGCGGATGAATCTCGCGACCTAATCCAGCGATTCTTGACAGAGCAGCCTGATCCCAACTTCGAGAACGTGATTGGTTACAAGAGCAAGAAGTGCTGGCCCAGAGATTCGCGTATGCGTCTCATGAGGCACGACGTCAACCTCGGCAGAGCTGTGTTCTGGGATCTCAAGAACCGCCTCCCAAGATCCGTGACGACGATTGAATGGGAAGACACCTTCGCCAGCGTGTATAGCAGGGATAACCCGAACCTCCTGTTCTCCATGTGCGGCTTCGAAGTGCGCATCTTGCCCAAGATCCGCAACCAGAACGATGAGTTCCCTGTGAAGGACAGTGTCTGGTCGCTAGTGGACAACACGACCAAGGAACGCACCGCTCACGCTTTCCTACAAGTCACCGAAGAGGACATTCAGAAATTCAATAACAGGATCCGTCAGATTCTCATGTCGTCTGGCTCGACTACATTCACCAAGATCGCTAACAAGTGGAACACGGCGTTGATTGCCCTCTTTACTTACTACCGCGAGGCTGCTGTTTCGACCGTGAACCTGCTTGACACGATTGTCAAGTGTGAAACCAAAATCCAGACTCGTGTCAAAATTGGTCTCAACTCCAAGATGCCTTCCCGTTTCCCTCCTGCCGTTTTCTACACTCCCAAGGAGCTTGGTGGCTTGGGTATGATTTCCGGATCACACATTCTTATCCCTACTAGCGACAAGCGCTGGTCTAAACAGACAGATCTCGGAGTTACTCATTACCGTGCGGGCATGTCGCACGATGAGGAAACGCTGATCCCCAACATCTTCCGCTACATCATCCCGTGGGAAGCTGAGTTCATCGACTCCCAGCGTGTGTGGACGGAATACTCGCAGAAGCGTCTTGAGGCCAACCAGCAGAACCGCAGATTGACCCTAGAGGATCTGGAGGACAGCTGGGATCGCGGCCTGCCCCGTATCAACACTCTTTTCCAAAAGGACCGTAGCACGTTAAGCTTCGACAAGGGTTTCCGTGCCCGTTCTGAGTTCAAGATCTATCAGTTGATGAAGAGCAATCCCTTCTGGTGGACAAGCCAGAGGCATGACGGTAAACTTTGGAACCTTAACGCATACCGTACCGATGTCATCCAGGCGCTTGGTGGTGTCGAAACCATCTTGGAGCATACCTTGTTCAAGGCAACTGGTTTCCCGTCTTGGGAAGGTCTCTTCTGGGAGAAGGCCAGTGGTTTCGAGGAGTCGATGAAGTTCAAGAAGTTGACAAATGCCCAGAGGAGCGGTAAGTTCAACACACCATTTCTCTACCATGAATTGATGATCATGTGCACGCACATATACTGACTCTTGAAATGCGCAGGTCTCAACCAGATTCCTAATCGTCGTTTCACGCTTTGGTGGTCACCTACCATCAACAGAGCCAATGTCTACGTTGGTTTCCAAGTGCAGTTGGATCTCACTGGTATCTTCTTGCACGGCAAGATTCCTACTCTCAAGATCTCCCTGATCCAGATCTTCCGAGCCCATTTGTGGCAGAAGATCCACGAGTCAGTGGTCATGGATCTTTGCCAGGTCTTCGATCAGGAGCTTGAGGCTCTAAGCATCGAATCGGTCCAAAAGGAAACCATTCATCCCAGAAAATCTTACAAGATGAACAGCTCCTGCGCGGATATCCAGCTCTTTGCCAGCCACAAATGGAACGTCACTCGCCCATCGCTCCTTTTCGATACCAAGGATGTCATCGAGTCTACTACGACAAACAAGTTCTGGATTGATGTTCAGCTTCGCTATGGTGACTACGACTCTCACGATATTGAGAGATACGTGAGGGCCAAGTATCTGGACTACACCACCGACAGCATGAGTCTTTACCCATCTCCTACCGGTCTCATGATCGGCATCGATCTGGCTTACAACTTGTACTCTGCCTACGGTCAATACTTCCCAGGCTTGAAGCTCTTGATCCAGCAGGCCATGGGCAAGATCATGAAGGCAAACCCTGCGCTCTACGTTCTTCGTGAGCGTATCCGCAAGGGTCTGCAGCTCTACGCCTCCGAGAGCAACCAGGAGTTCCTGAACTCGCAGAACTACTCGGAGCTGTTCAGCAACCAGACTCAGCTCTTTATCGATGATACTAACGTCTACCGTGTTACCATCCACAAGACCTTCGAAGGTAACTTGACGACCAAGCCGATCAACGGTGCCATCTTCATCTTCAACCCCCGTACCGGTCAGTTGTTCTTGAAGATTATTCACACCAGCGTTTGGGCGGGTCAAAAGCGTTTGGGACAGTTGGCCAAGTGGAAGACTGCCGAAGAAGTCGCAGCCCTTATCAGATCGCTACCCGTCGAAGAGCAGCCAAAGCAGCTTATCGTCACCAGAAAGGGTCTGTTGGATCCTTTGGAAGTCAATTTGCTTGATTTTCCCAACATCTCCATCCGCGCGTCCGAGTTGCAGCTTCCCTTCCAGGCCGCCATGAAGGTCGAAAAGCTGGGTGACATGATCTTGCGTGCCACCGAGCCGCAGATGGTTTTGTTCAATCTCTACGACGAGTGGCTGAAGAGCATCTCTTCCTACACTGCCTTCTCCCGTCTCATTCTCATCCTGCGTGCCCTGCACGTTAACCAGGATAAGACGAAGCTCATCTTGCGCCCCGACAAGACCGTCATCACGCAGGATCATCACATCTGGCCCTCGCTCTCCGATGAGGACTGGATCAAGGTTGAAACGCAGCTCCGCGACCTTATCCTCAACGACTACGGCAAGAAGAACAATGTCAACGTGTCCAGTTTGACTAGCAGTGAAGTCCGTGATATCATTCTTGGTATGGAGATCTCAGCCCCCTCGCTGCAGAGGCAGCAGGCCGCGGAGATTGAGAAGCAGCAGCAAGAGCAGCAGCAGCTCACCGCCGTCACTACCAAGACGCAGAACGTGCACGGCGAGGAGATCATTGTGACGACCACTTCGCAGTTCGAACAGCAGACGTTCGCCTCCAAGACCGAGTGGCGCACCAGAGCCATCGCCACCTCGAACTTACGCACCAGGGCTAACAACATGTACGTGTCGCCCGTGGATAGTGACCTGGACGACGTGACCTATGTCATGCCCAAGAACATCCTCAAGCGCTTCATCGCCATTGCCGATCTCCGTGTCCAAGTCGCCGGTTACCTCTACGGTGCCTCGCCCGCCGACAACGACCAGGTCAAGGAGATCAAGTGCATCGTCATGGTGCCTCAGATCGGTGGTCTGCGCAACGTTCAGCTGCCTCACCAGCTTCCCCAGCACGAGTACCTCAAGGACATGGAGCCACTCGGCATCATTCACACACAGTCGGGCAACGAGCTGCCGTACATGTCCGCCATGGACGTTACGGAGCACGCACGCCTGCTTGATGCCCACCCGAATTGGGACAAGCAAAACACACTTACCGTCGCCGTCTCCTTTACGCCCGGCAGCGTGTCGCTGTCGGCCTGGGCGCTCACGCCTCAGGGCTTTAAGTGGGGCGTGGAGAACAAGGACATAGCTAGCGACCAGCCGCAGGGGTTCACAACCAGCATGGGCGAAAAGCGCCAGCTCCTCCTCAGCGAGAAGTTCCGGGGCTTCTTCCTGGTGCCGGATGGCGGCAAGTGGAACTACAGCTTCATGGGCAGCGCGTTTGGAGGCCTGGAGAAAAAGCCGGTGCATGTCAAGCTGGATACGCCGCTGCCCTTTTACAGCGACCAGCACAGACCCATTCACTTCTCGAGCTTCAACGAGTTAGAGGATATCTGGGTTGATAGGCAGGATAACTTTGCCTAAAAGAGGCAGTACGGTGTGTGTATATGTGTGTGAGAGAAGGCGAGCATAAGAATGTGCTGGTTAAAGTTTATGACTAAAGAGCCGAGTGTATAACGAGAGTGTACCGTTTATTTATCATCCATGTTTTCGCACGGCGTTCTGCATTTGAGGCTAGGCCGTCTCACAAATATTTATTTAACACAAAAGCGTGTTTTACAGTCTACGACATGGATAAAGGCAGGATGTCGTCTGGTTTGGACTCGGCAATAGTGGTTAGTTTTTATAACAATGAGCATGTATTTTTTTTGGTACGCACCGTTTGTTGACATGTGGAATCTGTGGATATGCAGAGGTAGCAGTGTGACAACAGCTTCGACACGTGTGTGGGAGGTTACCCAAAACTTTTGGGACCCCCCATGTATCTGGACACGACGGGAACCCCAGGGAACGGTCAATGCAAGATAGCATCCCGTTCAGGTTTTCCCGAGCACCGGGAAGCGGAATAACCGTGCTGGAGATTCTTTCTGGGTACGTCATGTTGTTCCCCCACCAGACATGCTGGAGGCTAAACCATGTTACGCTATTCAAAGTGATGACGGTGTTGGCGAGAGATTACGCTTCATGCGTCTATGCTTTAGGCGACGTGGCTTGGGTTTATTGTCAAGCTAAGCGCGGACATATCTCCGAGGCTGGCGCGATGGTGTATTCGGATGGAGGGGTACCTCTAGGTAGGATGAAGCGTCGGGTCAAGCAAGGGACGTCACCTGGTAACATGGAAGGCAGATTAGCTATGAATAGTAAAGACAACATACCCTGTCTGCTTTCCAGATGTGGGATGTGGGAAGGGGATGGCATGGGATGGTATCGCCGGGAAGGAAGGTCATACTGGGAAGCGGATAAGCCGGGGGAGCTGGTCAAAAAACCCTGAGGTACCTCTGCTTCGGGATGAGATGGGATGGGATGGATCACGGATGGGGGTGTTGGCCTTGGACACACCTGGCCCAACTCGGAAAGTCCACATTCCCAAATCACGGGGGCCGATCAGAATGGGCCGACGCAGAGTCCCGACTTCCATGCATCGGTTTTTGCATTGAAAGAACGACAGACTAGCAACGGCTGCCAAGACTAGGCCTGACTATGTCTAGAAACGTCGTCCGTGATCCGAAATTGTCACGGCACATTCCAGCCTCATTCCAGCGGTCCCACCGGAGGCTGCGGAACTCCTTTGCTGTCTTGTCATCGGTCCTCAAGATTAAGCTTGCGATCGGTCCGGATGCCGGAGAAGAAACGGGTAACTTCCGCGCGGGAGGACCGGATAGTCCCGGATATCTCTCCGTGGCACATTTAGCCGTTGCTCGCTTCCCCACGATGTGGAAATACGTTATAACGGATGACAACCTAATCTAACCTTGGCCCACTTGGGTAGAGGTACCTCTAAGCCGCGGTTCTTGGCTCGACTGAGCAAAAGAAGTGGAGGCTGCGAAAAGGATTGTGAACTGACCACTTTAGTTTTGAAGACCCGGACATGGCCATTGCACAATGTCGGTCGTTCTCTGCACTACCTACGGTACCTACCTACCTACCTGCCTACCTACAACCTCTTGGGCCTACACGCATTAGCAAGTTCATGTTAATGCAGGTACGAGATGTCAATGCAGAATGGTATGATGTCTGCAACCCACCCCAAGCTACCCTTCCTTCCATTGGGCCTCCAGCTTAGCAGCCTCAGCTTGTCAAGTTTTATCTGGTGACTTTCGCTTGTCATGTTTGGAAGCATAATGGAAGCGCGAAGGAAGGCGTGGTATTGTATCGGTCCCGGATTAGCAGCTGTATCAATGCCGTTGTGTCGATCGTTTGAAACACGGTGGTGGTAGTGTTGTTGTTGTTGTTGTTGTTGTCATTTTGATGTGATCAATATAGCAACAGACGGTCATGTCCTGGTGATGGGTTGAGAGTTGGATGGTTAAGTTCCAGGTGAAGACGACGCCCGGTGACATTGTGCAGAGTCAGAGCGCTTTGGAGAGCTGGAATCGCACTGGGAGGGGCATCATGACTGAAAATTCACCCTGTTGAGACAATGACGCAGTTTCAAGGGGAAGGAGCTGTTCGGCTGCGACTGCGGCTGCGACTTTCATCCACATCGTTTGTGTGGCGGGGAGGGGGGTTAGTAGTTTGGTTGGTTTGCGCCTTTGGGAAGCAAGGAAAGAACTAGGTAGCTGAGATCAAAAACAGCATCGACGACGATCTTGGGAGCCCCTCGACACTTTCCCTGGTATTTTCCAGTTTGACGACACTAGGTGTAGGTGTCCAGTCACAGGGCACAACTGGTCAGAATCGAACGATGTGAAAATTCTTCAGTTCATTGAGTCCCTCTTCAGTTCCACACCAAGTACCACAACACAGCTCACTGAACCGAAGCATTGCGTGTTTTGTTGTGTTGTGTTGTGTTGTTTTGTTTATTTTTCCTTGTTCACAACTGCCCGAATATCTCCATAACCCCAGCCCAAGGTTTGTCACTAACAACAACATAGTCTCTACCCACCCATTCGAAACCTCTGGGCGTCAAGCTTTGTTAGCGACAGTCGCCAAGCTGGGAATAGTTCAGGTTGTATCGAAATGCCCTAGACCCTTGTGGTTCTCACCGCCGTCACCATTCTAGTTCTACCCTTCACCTTGCTTCACCGCATCATCACTACCACTACCACCACCATCACCACCAATTGCACGCTACCATCATGAACTTGCCCGCCTGTGACAACCACAGTCAAGTGCCCGGGCAACCGTCTTTGAACGCCGGAATATCAACGGCAGCGGCATCAGCCCATTGAGGGATCATCAATGTCCACGGCGATAGCTATCCTCTGACTGCCACTACACTCACTAGAATACACTAGTGGAGCTTACCCCGGTCTGCGCTAGAAGCAGCTTTGTCTCCTTCTAGAAAACTTCCGAAATCACGCCCATCCTGCCTTTGCGCGGAGCATAATGCAGCCTTTAATTGCAAGGTTTGAATGAAACACTTTTCCTTCATGCGCACATCTTGGCCACACTCCTTCGGTCTACATTCTACACCGTCCACTCCTTCACGGCATCTCCCCACGGCATGTCCCCCTCACTCCAACACCATCACAATACAACTGTCGTGCCGAGTATCGCTCTTTTCCGGCCTGCATACTGCTGCCTTGCCCTGTTCATTGCAGCTCTTCTCACTTCGGCCTTACTATGCTTAACAGGAAGCTGACAATTGTAATGGGCTATTTTGCGGCAGCTTCCAGCCTCGATTCGTCAGTCACATTGACACCCAACAAGCGCAATTTTGGAGTTGCCGAACGTCAACCTCTTCACCTGACCATATGGAAGACAATCATCGTCATGGCATAATTCAAGTGGTAGCCACGAAATTTTACCGTATCCGAACGGCATCTCCTCGCAAAGCCTAGCCCGAGACATCACGTCAAGGTGCGCGTCTGGCGCGTCTGGAACCCATCCATATGACCGTCATGATCGCATGCGGTGACCAGGCTCAGCAAGGTCACCGAGTGGACAGAACCTAGACCCGGTCTGCCAAAATATCTTCGTCTCCCAAATACTCTCGCTTCAATACCTGCCTTTGGCGGGCTAGTGCCTCTTTCCGGGATGAAGGTGTGCCTTCTCTCCCCCATGATGCGGCTACATTTCTGGCGGCAGCTTCGTCAAACCCTTCCCACTTTCACAGACGCCATATATCGACGGGCCGAACAGGCACAGACAGTACCTACCTTGGACTACTTGATACCCTGTCAAAACCATCCTGTTCAGTTTGAGGGCCCTGCCAGACCGCCTGCGGCAGCTCTCTGGTCTCTTTGGGATTGGGGTCACATCGGACATCTCAGATGATATGGTTCAGATTTCACGCGGGCAGGGTCACTGCATGGTATCCTCACTCTATAGCCTCTCTTTCGCCCCTGCTCGGCAATCCAGCATTCCTACCTTCATCACGGGTGGATGCTACCCCTTCTCCAAGGCGGCTTAACCCCCGGGACCCTATCGTATGTCAGGGCATCGATCTGTTTCCGGGCACCTGTTATAGCTCCCCCCGTCTTAATATCTTTCCCTTTTCAGAGACCATGGAATTTCCCACTCCTCAATGCCCTCTCCGCTTGCCACCTACGACACTCCACCACACCCAGAACTGGACATCCCCCCAGCAGCAGCCAAGGTATGCTGTCGCTATCATGTTCCTGCTTTAGTACTTCCGAGTGACTTCTTCTGGCTCTCCTGGAAAGGCCGGGTACCTTGCTTGACCGCACACTGTTCACTGCGGGGACTTACATCCACCTTCCTGGCTGTGTACGGAGATGGACTCGGCCAGATTGCCACCCCTCCCGGCAAGCTCCCCTCCCGCTCGCCATCGTCTGCCTGTCTCCCTCTGCCTTGCAAGTGTAAGACTCTCGTTACTGGCTTTCCTTGTGAGTCGGGTGCCGCTGCTGTCCTTGGTTGTCTGTCGAGAAGAACACTGCTACGAGCACCTCCTAATTCGCTTCTTGCCATGCTGCGGCCCAGCCGCATGGCAGGGCTTGTTTCATCCCATACATTGTCGAGCTTGATGTTTTGACTCTGTCTTTGCGTTTTCGAAGCTTCGTTTTCTTTGGATCGTCAAGTTCACTGAATATCTGAATCGAGTTAGAGCGCCGGGAATTTCTTGGACCTCGATAATTAGTCCTGCGGCAACCCTGTCCAGCAATCTGAGCTACGAGCTGTCATGCCCGCTCGGTGCATCACTACCTGAAGCCGGGGTTCTGTTCTATATCCGGAAGACAGTCCATGGCATAAGATCCTCAAATTATGCCACCGTCATCGGTCGTCGAACCCGACTTGAACTCCACATTTCAAGCTACAAATACGGCTCGTACTTATCGTTGCTTGTATGCTTATTCCTTGGATTAGTAGGCGGGTCAAATCCATATATCCACTCCGTCCCCGTCCCTCCAAGGCGGCTATCACTTGCTTCTCTGCTCAGTATCAAACACCACAAGATATATCACGGTCGCTACCCGCTGCTTCTTTTCCTCTGCTCTGATTCTACTTTGGCTTTATCGTTAAGTCCACCAACGAAGAAGAAACCGTTCGTTTTGGAAGCTAGGCTGAACTGGGAGGGTCGACAAACTACACACCAAGTACCAGTATCCACAGAAAACGGTCATACCAGCCAGTTTCAGCACGCAATGAGCTTACGAAGGAGGAATCGTTAAGAGTGCCGTCATTGTCCAGCCAGCCTATCCGAGAATCAACCTACCGTCTCGTACCTCTGAAAATCATATACCCCCACATCACCATCGGTCGCCTTTCTACCGCCACCGACTCGTTTGCGAAGACTTCGCTTGAATACATGTGCTCTGGGTTCATACCGACACCTGTCTCTTTTCAACTGAGCTCAAGTACCCCTCAAAAAATCAACTCGCAGCATCTGAGGCCCTCCTCAGATCAAATTATACGCCACTCTCGTTTCCAAAGTAGCCCTGCGGGGCTCAATCTTTCCAAATTCTCGCAATTCAGAGCCCGGCGACCAGCCAGAGCGGTCCGCTCTGGCGGACCTCATGCATAGCGGTCACGCTGGCGGGCAATTACCGAGTAGGTCCGGACTACCATGTCGACTATTCGTCACAGGAGCCGCATACGGCCGAGCAGAGCCAGGCTCCGCACTCCTATGAAGCGCACCACCACCGACCGTCTCTCCAACATGCCGGCCTGCCAAGCTTGCACGAGCCGCCCACTCACCAACCCCATCATGGCCTGTCCCAACATTATGCCCAAGCCCATCATCCTCTTCCGATCCTCACAGATCCGGGCCACATGGGCGGACATCCTGGCGCACGACACATGGGTCATTCCGGACCACCTCACTTTGGCGGACCGGGCCCTTCGCCACACACTGTAGTTGCGCCGCTTTACCCGCCTTTGACGCATAACCACGGACATGGCGGTGGGTTGAAACGACAACGGCCCGAAGATCTCGATCTCACAATGCCTGGAATCCCGAACCTTGAGCAAAATGACCTGGACTCCATGCAACATACATCGTTGGGAGCAGCCTACGCACAAGCAGCAGCGGCCCCGCCTCAGCATCATCATCACCGCCTACCAGACACCGGCCCCCCAAACAAGCTTTTAAGACGGGAAGGGGAAGGTAGCGGCGGTGGTGGAGCTCCCAGTGTAGTTGGACAAGCAGGAATGCCACCTCCAGCCCCGAGACCAAGAGGCCCCAAGCTCAAGTTTACGCCAGAGGACGACCAGCTGTTGATCGACCTGAAGGAAAACAAGAGCTTAACCTGGAAGCAGATTGCCGACTTTTTCCCTGGGCGATCTTCAGGAACTCTTCAGGTGCGATACTGTACAAAGTTGAAGGCGAAAACAACACAATGGACGGATGAAACGGTAAGTCTGATCAACCGTATCTCTTTCTACCAGATGAATGAATTAGCTGTCCACGTAACTTGCTTTCTGACTAATTCTTACATGCAGGACCAAAAGCTCAAGACGGCGCTGCAAGACTACGAAAACGAGAAGTGGAGGATTATTGCCAACAAAGTTGGGACAGGATTCACCCCAGTAGCATGTCGTGAGAGAGCGGCGGAGTTGATGGGAGAGGACTTATAGCAATCAATGTCCCCACCAGGAGTTTCGGCTTCTGTGTCTGGGGACACCGTCTATTCCTCACAACTCCAGTGAGCAGCACACCGCAGTGCACAAGATCTACCACGTCAATACCCCATGCGCAACGTCAAAAACTCGGCCAATATCCGATGACAATCGATTTGACGGGGTAAAGATTGAGTCAAACGCGGTCGAGTCGAATCAAACGAATACACCAACCGCGCGAAGCTTTCCGTTCGTGGAGAGCGAACGACCAAGTTAGTAGCCAATTTCGTGGCTACCAAAATTCAGAGACACTCAGGGATAGGAAGGTGCACAGGAGTTCTCTGTCGTCCTTACCCCCTCTCCCTGTTTATTTGCCCTTATTACTCCATTTCTTCTCTCTCTACCTTCTTTTAATATTTATTCTCTTGTTGGTTTGATTCATCATTTGTATCATCATTTGGGGAGATATCATTCTTTGAGAAGGCGGCATTATACACCTAGATACCCCATACACAACAAGTATTATATCTGACATTAACGTTTAGTAACCTTTTTTCCTTATTTCCTATTGCGGTGTGCTGGGTCTTGCGCTGGTGTTTTTTTTAGGTTTTCCATAGGAGGCGGCTTGATGAGATTGGAAAAGGATGACCATTACACAACGATACTCAGCCACTTCGCTACCATACAGGCTTTCACGACCGAAATGGATGATGACGATATACACAAGATTCAGATCGGTCTCCGACGTGCGGTCGTGGTGGAACAGGGCTTGATGGATGGTTTATACGTCTGTTGGTTCGAGAAAAGCCCACAACTCTGGCATTGATTTGGAGCCCAAGAGGAATTGGTGATCGATTCAGGCAAAGATTTCAAAGAGGCAATGGGATAGTTCCTTCGATGCCAGAGCGGGGGCAGGATTTGGGAGACAAGACTCGAAGAACAGCAATATGAACACCTGGGCGGGTCAATAGTTGGTTGCTTGGGCGGAACATGTCAGGAACAGAACCGGCAAACACTAGTCCGCTTGTCCCTTGGAGTTGGTTGGGTACTTCATTTCATGCAGGAAATTTGGTTGGGTTGCGGAAGGCTTTTTTTTTCGAGAGAGCGTGCATACCAACCACCATTACAAGCACACATCGTCGAACTTCAACCTATCTTTCCTTTGTCTATCACATTCCGCGATACCCAGCACAGTGCAGCACTCACTACGATACGTTTTCATATTTTCCCTATGTCGTTGTTTTTCAGAACACTAGCTGCTTCCCCTCACATAATTTGTATGTAGACCTTAGGGTTTTTTTTTTGGTCTCAGACCGTTGTGTTTAATGTTTAACTGGGCTGGTCTTTTCGATTTGTCCTCCACTTAGGCGAGCTCAATGTACTCTACGGTGTGGTTGGAATGGGGAACTACCTGAGGCATGCTGTGTCTCACCGCAGATACTCCAAGTGTAACACAATGATGCATCACACAGCGGGCTGTTGAGAGTGAAGGTGAAAATGAGGAAGACGCCAAGTGGACGCTATTCTCACGGTGCGTAACTGACCGTCCGCTGGGAAGATGGGATCCCAATCAACAATGGACATTGTGCGGTTGATTTCTTGGCTGCCGAACCTGTCACTTTGCCACCTTCCTATTCGGCGACGAGGCGTCTTGAAAAGCGTTGGATAAATGACTACATAGTAGACCGCTCTCTTGAACCACAAGATTGTGTCCATCTTAGCCGGTTCCAATGTCAGCCTGTTAGGTCTCTGGGCAGTGATGTCCCCTACCCAGCAAAACAGGAACGCGACTGTGAAAAATGGTCTGATATTTATTTCATTCTTGGAACTAAACACAGGCACCGTTACATCGCCCGTCGACGGGTGGCCCTAGTGTAGGTACGCTCGAGGTACGCTACCATTTGAATGGCTGTCATGTGCCGTTGACGCCATTGTTAGGAGTCTAGGAGCACGGAGATTGACGATGCCCTCTCTGTCCCCAGAAGTTAAGCACCGTGCCCCATGTCCGATGTTCCAGCATCGACCGTTGACGATGATGGGTCATATCAATAACGGTCATACATGGTAGTTACAGTGGGTACCATGAATAAACGCACAACTTGAAATTTTCCCGTCAAAAAGGCTAAAAAGGTCGCCTTCGTCACTCCTCAATTTGACCACATCACCATTTCTGAAATTAAAAGTAGGTATTTTCTCAGGTTGATACCTATTCTGTAAACCATTGTATGCCCATGAGGGTTTCGTGCGATCTTGGTGATCTGTGGTGGTGAAAGAGTGGTATTATTCAAGGGTACCTCTATCTAGCTTCGCATGTCAGTTACAGCGGGCTTATAGAGACTCACAATGGTTAGGAGACTGGCTTCTCCTTTCAATATTAACCTTGTTAGGTGCCTTGTGAGTTGCGCACTAGGTACTCAAGCAAAATGCAAAACAAACTCCTTATTTTGATAGCTCAGTAAAATGTTTGATACATCAAGATTCACAGATTGATTGAACCTCGATCGTATTATTGTTCAACGACCTAATAAGTACGTACGAGTTCTACGAGGAAATGACCAGTGTTGCGTTTATTTGTGTTACCCACTATAAGGTACAACGTTAGCATCGATCCAGGAACCTGAAAGGGTCCGGCAGTCTGTCGGTTAGTCAGTCCCCTCGGCTCCATTGGTTGTGATTTCGCTCGGTTGTTCGGTTCGGTTCGGTAGGGTCGTCTAAAACGGTCGCAGATCCGCGTGCTGAAAGTGGTTTAAACCAACGTGCTGGGTTCCTGTTGCGTCAAGGCTGGAAGGATGTGGATTGATAGTAATCCTTTCTCAGTGAATACGAAACCTGCGGTTGCTTGATCTCTGCATCATTCCATGAATTCTCTTACAAGTTGTGTTTCTCTATATTTCGTTCCATTTCATCTCGTTCGGTTCTCTCCAGCCGCCAGACGAAACTACACCAGCAACTAGAGTGGACAGGGGATCTTTTGTTAGTTTGCCGCGAAGCGAACAACATTTGTTCCACGCCATGGTCGGTTTTGTAATTCGCCTCCACTAAATCTGGCCAAACAATGTCTATTCTGCGGTTCTCTAAGGAAGCCTGCGCTATGTATTCAGCCTCCTCAACCGCTCACCGATTGGCACGCTAGGGACGAGAGCCAAAAATAAAGTTTTCCTGATAGACTCTCACCGAGTATTTGAGATACGAGTGGAGATCCTTCATGTTCTGCGTTCGATATCAGACCAGAGGAGCGACTCACTGCCAAGACACACTACCGCTTCCCCATACTGTTGCCATGTCGATGAAAGTCATGAAACCCTTGATCTAGCGGACATTTCGGTACTTGTCTGTCAATCAAATCGCCCAATTCCCTCTTTGATTCTCTAATCCCCTCCTCCTCGTTGACTTGACTATGCTTCCTGAGATCAAATACCCTACCTTGCATAATCACTCACTTCGACCATTGTACTTCAGGCACAACATTGGGATTTTTGTTGACACGGTGCCTTCTCTGCTATGCTCCGGCCCATCCTGCCCGCCGGCGCTTGAAACAGCCCTTTGTGAGTTATTGCTTTTTCCCTCTTCACGTCTGCCTTCCTCCACTGTGCATTGTATCATTCGTTGAAAAAGGAACATATCTGCCTACCGTGGGGGGTCGTTGGGGCGTTCGGAATCACGGCGAGCGAGGTTTCGGATCGAGACAAACGACCCGTCACAGCACGCTACAAGAGGCTGCACTAAACTAGCGCTGTAAGTTTGCGGTGTAAGCGGGGGCTCTGGGGACTAGTGTAGTGTAATGAACGGCGATCGCCAAGTCGGCCCTTCGCTTTCCCCTGGCATTGCGCTTAGACGATCCAGACGAGTCTCTTGAGCCGAGCTGCAATGCATACCGAATGAGGCGATTTCTCAACGGTCATTCGGAAATTAACGTTAGCGTCATCTTGGAAAACAAAGTCCCCGCTCAGTAATAAGGCTACTTGAAGTCGAACCTGCTCCACTATTGATGTCGGTCTTTCACAGTTCATCCCTCTTATCACTCTGTTCGTATCCAGCAACCTTGTTCTGTCCATGATCCAGGACAGATGATCCGGTGTACCAGGAATAGCACCGTGCAAGAACATCAAAGGGAACATCATCGGTACTTCAGTAAGTTTATACGTGCATTACTGATCAATGAGATTCGAACATCCAACCCGCCCCATCAGGTAGGAACTAGAGACCACCCACCTTTGGGAGTCAATGTTGGACAGAGAGGCAGGGGCGGAGACATGGAAAGGCCAACCAACAATACCTAGTCTTGACGATGACGAAAACTTCCGAGTACCGACTGGTATGCGCCAAGTGCAAGGAGCAATCTGATATGTTTTCGACTTCCCGTCTTTCATGCCTTACACAGACTAAGTTGCTGTTTCTCAAACCAACGGCGTTTTCTGAAACACGCCCAGTATCCAATAGCTTGGTTCCTTTCCCACCTACTCTCGTCACCTAGGCAGGGTTATCGCTGGGATTGAGGCCCTTCGTCTCCAGTCTGGTCTTCATATTGACGCAGGGAAATCGTGCTCTTTTCTTCCATGGTGACGTATCGTCCACCATCCATAGCTGATACTGCGAGACTAAGTTGATGAACTGGACAGTGAGGCTTCGCTCCCCTGTCGCATTTCTTAGGCCAGTCTTCCTGCTATGGTAGCTCTCATCCAACAGACATCTCGTGAAGGTACTTGGAGGTACTCAATACTCTCCAGAGATGTCACTGAGCGACTGAAGTGAACATAGGTAGGTAACTAGGTAGTTTGACCCTCGATGTGAATGAACAAGGGCCAGGATCTTGCGGGGAGATGGACGGTGAAACGGTACATCGTACAATGCCCTGCCTTACTGCCCTGCCGTGTAGTACTCGTTGATCTCACGTCACGCTACCTACCTACATAACGGAACCTATCTGCGTGCCTGCCTGCCCGGCTCGCCCATTTCGTCGCTCGTTAGCCGTTGTAGGAAGTGAAGCGAGCGAGAAAGCGAGGATTCTGCCCTTCTTTCGGCTTGTGCGCCCCGCAACGGGTAGTGATGTCGTGCTGTGATGTTGTAAAGAAGCAGTGTAGCGTAGGATGCCCTCTCGGCAATCACATCTCGTTATGTCACGCAGCACTAAACATGATGCCACATGTAGTCTTGACCGTGAGGCGGGAAGAGGAATCAGCACAAGCTCATCTTTTCTTTCCTTTTTTTTTTTTTTTTTTGGTCCAACTAACACCCTCTGGGCGTCTTGTAAGCCTTGGATGAGTGATGACATCTGGAGACAGGGCAGGGCAGGGCAGGGCAGGGGTCATACCTCTAGCTTTCGTAGTTACATCTGAAACAAAGAAGTTTCGCGCCGAGTAAGCCCTACTTGGTGTCACGTTGATCCAGCGGTTCCTGGTAGAAAGCTTGCTTACCTGATTTGTTCGACATGGCTTTCCGAGGTTGGTAGATGGTGATAAGTAGATGAGGTGTGGAAGGGAAATCTCTACGAGCCTGACATATACAATAGCCACTCCATTATGGATAACCTTTGCTTCCCTTACCTGTACCTATCCCAAACAAGCTGAGTTCCCTGCGGTCCACATGGGATTAACGCCCTCTGCTACAAGGTGTATGGCTTGAATAACACCAAGATAGAGAGTGGATCAAAAGACTGTCTGGAAAGAGATGTTTCTTGCGAAAGGTGTTTGCGAGATCGACCATTCAGCCCGAAATGACTCGACTGTTACTCTGCCCTCCGTAGCCGAATGCCACCCAAATGGATGGATTCTCCGAACGAGGCTAGTACCCACGTATACTGCGGTCGAGGATCTCCAAATGTCTCGTCTCTGTCCACAAAGACAGTCTCGGTCTGTCCCTCTCTTGTCTCGAAGAAGAAGGCGGTCCCCAAAAAGGCAATGATGCCAGTCCGGAGCTTTTCCCGCTAGGTCCTGATTGCATGTCCGGGAAAGACCGGCACTTACAACAAGCGAGGCAGTTCGAGGGGACCTCACACGGACGATGGACCAAATCGGAAATGAAATGTCCGAATCAAGACAATTTATTGGCTCTTGCCTCTTCAATGCGTTCTTCCCTACTTTGATCCTATGCTTCGCTCCGTCGTGCACACCTTCTTCCTTTTATTGGTGGTGATGATTGTTCACCATCGATCGTTTGCTGTTGTCAGAATTTGGCAGCAGGGACGTCACTTTTCACGACCAGCTCAGCTCCTTTCTCGCCTTCACCTCCTCTCACCAAGGGTGGTAAACAGGAAATGAACCAAACAGAAAACAAGATCCACAGTAGTAGGGCACTACTATTCTCCTCAGCAACGGCTACGGAGGACGTGTCGACAATTGAAATCCCAGCTTTGCTTGATGCGAAATCGTGGCGTGCAATCGGATCGAACGCCGGGCCGTGGAGCGGGGTAGGGCACATTGAAGAGACCCTCAATGAGATCAGTTGAGTTATATGACCTCGAGGAGATCCTGCCAACTTGGCCTGGGTTCAGGTTGGCAAGGCAAGCACGGCGGCGCAGGTGCTTCGGATTTTGTCCGATGGTGTTTGCCCCCCCGTGAAGGAAGGCACGGGGTGGACTGGACGATAGTGCGGTTCTTGACAGATACCGGTCACTATCGGTGAAGAGACGAAGCCACCGACGCGTGGATGAACATGAGAATGACCTGCATGACTCACATGGCAGGTTTGTTGTAACCTTCGGCCGCCTCTCGAGAAAGCACGCTAGAGACGCACGACACATTGCAGAACCCTAGGCTACTAGCCTGAGGACAATCGAGCAAAAAAAAAAAAAAAACGATGACGAGATGAGGCGACTACCTACCTATGAGCTTCTTACCCCAACACAGCCTCGAATGACAACTACCTCTGGCCTTCGGCCACGATGGAGTGGAGAAGAACAAAATCGAACAACGGAAGGTCCGGACGAGGGAGACATAATGAAAAGAGAGCAAGGAAAGCACATCATATCGAACGAAAGAAATCAGCGAAGGGGGGAAGAGAGAGGCGACGAGCCAGGCTGGAGCCATGGTGGAGGGAACGGGAAGGATAATCGGGAATGCGATGGCTGTGTGATGATGGATGATGATTCCGCACTTGCTACTCGCTAACTCGCTGCCCAGTTCTGCAATAATGGTATGTTTTATACTGCGCAAAACCCGGCTTATATCAAGCATTCTAATATGGTATATCGGCCCTGCTTTAAGGCTCCGCCGTCCACCCACCCTCCAGTCCGAGACGCACGTACAGACGACAGGGACACACGGAGACACGCTCCAGGAAAGGATAGAATGAGCTGAGAAAAAGTATTCGATTCGGTGGAAGAGAAACAAGGAGGATAGGTACCTTCCCACCGCCCGAGGGTCACAGGCTTGGTTCCGATTCGGAAAGTTGGCATGAAAAGCATGCGTGACAGGGCAAACCAAGTCTGTGGGATGCTTGGGAAGTGGTGGTCCCGCTTCCTCCCCGCTTTCCGCAGCTTCTTACCACGCAGTACAATCCAGCTCTGGTTTGTTTGTGAGCCCTAGTACAAGAAAACCAAAGCTTTCCCTGACAAAGGAAAGTGTTCGGCTTTCGAAAAGGTGAACGCTGTACGATTTATATCTTCAATCCTGAAGGCCTTGAAGGAGACGGAGACAAGCAAAAAGGACAGCCATCAGAGGCTTTGTGGCGTCCCAAACCCTTGCCGTTATCCCATGTCGCTTCGAGCGGAAGACAGTACCTCTCTTGAAAGGCCAATGAGAGCTCCAAAATTTCCCTGTTCAACCCATGCTTGAGGAACCAAGCTAACAAACAATCCAGTAATGAATTGTATGCCCGCTCGCTGGGACTCATGTATGTGAAGGAGGGTGTGAGACTAGAGTTGGGAGAGGAAGGGGGGGGGGGGGGGGGTGGGCGGACAAG